CGCTAGAATAGCTACACGGCAGTTACGATGGACATCCTTGTATCTAGATATATCTCAATCTCCCGGTCCCGAAATAACTGCTTGGAGATACATATCACATCCCGGATATTTTGCTTAGCTCAATCTCCCAGTCCCGAAATAACTACCTGGAGATACACATCGGATCCCGGATATCTTGCTTGGCATCTTGATTGGCATGCCGTGTGGATTCCGCATCGGAACATATAAATACCTCTTAAGGGCCACGCCAAAAGGTAATTAAAACCAACCCTAAGCTCCTTGTTTTTCCGCTTCAAAGGTAACCCCGTTTATTGCTGACTTAAGCATCGGAGTGTCTACTCCGAGGATCCACCTCGGGGCTTTGCAGGTCAATCTAGAGTGCAGATACGGACTGAAGAAGGACTTCTGGTTTGGTGCAGTTACAATGCCCAATTACGTATCCATGAACACCTTAAATTTCTAGAAAGTGTAAAGTTCAAACCCCCAACAGGGGTTGGGATGATGGTTGTTTTTTTCTCATGAAATGGTAAGATTGGATATCTCATCCACTGTTTTCATTGCAACTCTACGCCCCTATTGTAATGATATGCATTTAGGTTGTAGAAATGGAGTATCCTGACTTACAGTATGTTAACATGATTCAAAATTTCAACTTGAAAAGTGGGGCAAAAGGGGAGTGATAGGATCTCACATGGGTGGCTACGTGGTGCCTTCACTAGTTAAAGAACATGATGTGTTTCCTCATCCTTGATTAATCTTGATTGGTACTTTCCATTCAATGCAGAGTTTAAAGACAAGTGTTGTTGTAAGGATGTTGCAATAATTTTGAGGATGAGACTTTGCAACAGAAAGGAGAAAAGAAATGGCTTTTGTTTACCACTCACACACTTAGATCGTTAGTAGATTCATGTAAGTCTTTATATAGCTCTTAAGTAGAAAATATTTAAAAATAAATTATATCAATTAGGTTATCCTAAATATAATTTACCATATTAAATCAATATTTAAATTAAAATTGTTATTCGATTATTTACCTTTCATCATTTCATCTTCAACAAGCTGCTTAACTAGACAATATTTAAAAATAAACTACATCAATTGGGAGATGCTCGATGAAATTTACCCCATATATATTTTTTTGTAAGTTGGGGCTTACATCTAAATTTTAACATGAGAAGTTTTTTTATGAAGATGAGATAACCAGTAAATCACGAGTATGTTATTGATAAAATTTACTTTACTAAATAAATTTTTTTTAGTGAAACTCTTAAAGTCAATATTTAAATATGAATCAAAATTGTAATTCGATTATTTACACTACAGCTTCCACACTGTGACTCGCGTCTTTGATTCCTTCACCTGTCCTTATAAATATAACCCCACATCAATCTCCTTTCTCTGTCTTTTTCACTCCAATTCTTGCAATTTTCTAAATTCTGTGTTTCTAACAGCATTTCTCCTTCTTAAAATCCTTTCATTGTCCCACAAAAAATGGGAAACATCTTCGTTTTCCGTTTGTTACCCCTGTTTTTGTTACTGGGTTTACTCTGTTTTCCCGCACCTGCCCTCTCTGACGCCGACTTCTTGCGGGGGGAATATTTAACCGTTCCAACGTCAGATTTCCTTAGCTCACTCGTGACCACCATTGATGCCATAAAGAAAGTTGACTATGCAGTGTCCAAGTTTGGCCGCTTTTTTGTTGATTTCCGACTTGGGAATGCAATTTCCGATTGCCTTGTTTTTTTGGATTTTTCCGTGGATGAATTAAGCTGGACTTTGGATGCTTCTAAGAATCCCAATGGTACTGTACTTTCTCCCTCTTGGACTCTTCATCATTTTTGTTTTCTCGAAAAAGTTAAAAGAAATGGAATGTTTTTTAATGTTGCCTTTTTGCATGTGTTGAAGTTCGACGAAATGTGTAAGAGAAGGAAAGTATGTATGTTTCCACTTGGGCTGATTGGAATTATTCAATTTCAGGTAAACATAACAGTACCGGCGATCTGTCTTCTGATCTGAGGACATGGCTTAGTGCTGCCATGACTAATCTAGAGACCTGTGTTGATGGGTTCGAGGGAACGAACGGAATGTTCAAAAGTGTGGTAGCAGAGAGCGTTGGTCAAGTCACTTCAAAGCTCCGTGATCTGCTAGCTGTGGTGCAACCAAGTTCGAAATCTGGGTCCAGTGGAGGCAAAAAGGGTGGCAGCGATGGTGGGAGTCATCGTACGTTCTTTAATAACAATGACCCATTTCCGTCATGGGTAAAACCGGAGGACATGAAATTGATAGAAGCAGATGAGGTATCGGCTGATGTAGTGGTGACAGCTGACGGAACCGGAAATTTCACCAACATAACTGCCGCGGTGGCTGCAGCACCGGACAATTGCATGCGCCGATTTGTTATTTACATCAAGAGGGGCGTGTATAAAGAAAACGTTGACGTTAAGAAGAAGAAATGGAACATTATGATGGTCGGAGATGGTATAAATGCCACTGTAATCTCCGGTAACTGGAGTCACGTTGACGGTCGGACCACATTCCGAACAGCAACATTTGGTAAATATACTAATTATTTCATTATGACTCTGTTTATTTCTATTCTTGGAAAAATCCATCAATTTTCATAAAATATGCAGGTGCAAGCGGGAGAGGATTCATTGCGCGGGACATAACATTCGAGAACACCGCCGGGCCAGAGAAACACCAGGCGGTGGCGCTCAGATCAGACTCCGACCTGTCTGTTTTCTTCCGGTGTGAAATCAGGGGATACCAAGACTCACTCTACACGCACTCCATGCGCCAGTTCTTCAAACAATGCACCATCCGTGGCACGGTGGACTTCATATTCGGTGACGCCACGGTTGTGTTCCAGGACTGCCTGATCCTGGCGAAACAAGGCCTACCCAGTCAAAAAAACACCATAACTGCACATGGCCGAACAGACCCAAATCAGCCAACCGGCTTCTCCCTCCAATTCTGCAACATCACCGCCGATTCCGACCTGCTGCCATTTATCAACTCCACTCTGACGTACCTGGGGCGGCCGTGGAAGCCGTACTCGCGAACAGTCGTAATGCAGTCTAACATCAGCGACGCTGTAAGGCCGGAAGGTTGGCTGGAGTGGAACGGGACTTTACATTTGGACACCCTGTATTACGCGGAGTACAAGAATAATGGGCCTGGATCTGAGCTGGGTAGACGAGTCCGATGGCCAGGGTATCATGTACTAAATACTTCGGTCCAGGCTGAAAACTTCACGGTGGCCCAGTTCATTGAAGGGGATTTGTGGTTGCCGTCAACCGGCGTTAAATACACGGCAGGATTAGGTGAATAATAATAACCCAAAAAACGAAAAGGGGATAAAAACTATTTAAATTAACTTTATATTTTTTCTAAATCGGTGTGAGAGAGCTTGAGCCTTTTTATTAGTCGTTTTCAGGTAGAAATTAGAATAAGAATTAGTATATATATCCTAGAAATGCACATTTTCTTTTGGTCCATGGGCTGATATATTATCTAGATTCAAGACTCAACCCTTCAAGGCCCATGATTTCAGAAATTTGATTTTATGTAACTGTGAATGAAGGAGAGTGTCCTGGAAGATTTTTATGGTAGATTGTGTGTGTATGTGTGGTTTTACTTTTAACAAAGTTGGGTAAAATTTTCTATTGGTATGTTTAGGAACATGAATTTTATAAAGTGTATTTGAATTTAAACCCTTTAGATTCAATATTATTGTTTGTTTTTTATAAAATAAATATGTAATCGAATTTATCTCGAATACATATAATTAGATTCATGTATTTCTTTGCTTTAAATTTATATATTTGAAATACTCTTCTAAACCCATGTATTTCAAATTTAGAACTATATATTTCAACTCTCTTCTCTTCCTAGAAAAATTTTGACAGAGATTGATGGTGGATGATTTCCGTCAGGTGAAGGCACTAGATGACCAATATCTGGTATAGAGATGGAAAAAAATTTATCATCAATCCTCCATTGTTCCCTTCAAAGATCTTGTTTTCTTGTCTCTTTTTTTTTTTTTTCTTTTTTGGTTTCCTGCCCGGTATCCGGGGTTTCGCCTCAACTAATCCAAACCGATCCGCGTCGTACACCTGAAAATGGTGGGTGAGTCTCCCGACGGACGGAGGTTGCTACGTACATAAGGTCTTGAACTCAAGATCTTGTTTAAGCTGGAATAAGCCGCTTACCGCTTGATCCAACCTCTCGTTAGTCTTGTCTCTTTCAGTACTTGGGAGAAATCCTCTTAATTTCACAAAAATCTTGATTCATCTTGAAATATTGTAAGTCTTCTCCCAGAGAAATAGATTTTGCTTTTTGGTTTCCTTTTCCATGGGTTCATATTGGGTAAGTTTTGCTCGTTTAAATGGAATATACTCTTCATCTCCAAATAATTTGGCCAATAGAATTTTTCTTGGGATTTATATTTGTTTTTTTTTTTTGGGCGATGTTGGAGGTATTAGTGATTTTTCTACTTCCTGTTTGTTAGCGGATCGGGTGAAATTTGTTATATGGGTTGGGCATGTTAGTGAAAGTTGCAAAGGGGTTGTTCTTGAAATTGTTCATAAAAATGTTTTAATGAGCAAATTGAATATCAAATTTATTATTGTTATATTAATTTAAATAGTAAATTTAAAAAAATATATATTTAAAATTATATATATTTAAATATATCTTTCAAATAGAAATCCAAATTCCTAAACATATCCTCTAAGAATTTTTCTTAAAACTTGTCCGTGAGAGTTTTCTTCACCCCTTGACTTAATGCAATAATAAATAGGGCTAAAATGGAGTTGAGCTAAGCTGAATATCCATAAGTTAGAACTCAAGCTTGTGCTTAGCTTTGATTAGTTATCAGCTTCAAATTCAAACACAATCTTTGAGCCTAGATTATTAGTTAATGGTGTCATTTGGAATAGTTTTAAAGAGTAGATTCATTATTAATATAAATTTAGAATAATTTTAAACATCATTCATTGGCATAGTTAGAAAAGCACCAAACACCACTTACCACCCAAATTCATTTTTTAGCGTAACAATTAAGTCAAGTTAGCCTGTATCTATTATAAAACTAATCTCTTTTTAATTTAATTATACGCAAACTATTTAAGTTGGAATTAAAAAAGTCATAACCAATAAATTATGAAATTGAATTAGATAAAGATGCATGGTTCTTCTATTTTTTTTCACACTTCTATTTTTGAATTAACTAAATTTTTACAATTAAATACCAAATTAAAAGGCCAAAAATGAACAAGGATCTCGCGAGAAATGAGGATGGGCTATGAATGGCCTAACCAACATTTTATATGGAAAGAAAACCTAAAATCTCTCCGGTCCATATCTTCCGTATGACTCTGTGTTTCCAATAAGACTTCAACCTCATTTGTGAAGCATAAACAAGGAGAGGGTAATTACAAGAACTAGCACAATTTTTTTCTCATCATTTTTAGCTTTCTTTCATTTACCCTCTCTGCCTTAGCTTCATTCTAAGGCAGAGAGACCTCTGCCTCAAGCTATAAAACAATGGTTTTCCAAGATTTCGACGTTATACAAGAACGTCGTCGCCAAGAACGACAAAGAAAGTTTAAAAAACGAATTACCATAGTGGTAATTGCCATCTTCATCCTCTTAATTATAACTGGAGCAGGAATCTTTGTGGTGGTTACCAGCGTGAAGAAAAATGAGGAGAAGTCTCAACCTGCTAAGGGCAAACCGTCACATTCTCCACCCAATGAGGTGGTAAGAAATTCTGATAAGATTGTAAAGACTATATGTAATAGTACTCTTTATCAAGATACATGTCAAAGTACCCTTCAAAAGATTGTGAAAGATAGTCCTGCGGCAAAATCTCACCCAAAGGATCTTCTTAAAGGTGCAATATCTGCCACTGTGGATAAGCTTGAGAAGGCCTTTACAAATGTTAGTAAGTTGGAATTCGCCACGCCAGAGGAAAAACAAGCATTTGAGGTTTGCAAGCAAGTTGTAGCCGACGCTAAGGAAGAACTGCAGACATCTGTTGATAACATTGGCGACGACTTGGGGAAATTGGAGACCAATGGTAACGTGAATAGTTGGCTTAGTGCAGTTATGTCGTACCAAGAAAATTGCATCGATGCCTTCCCTGAAGGGAAATTGAAATCTAACATGAAGGATGCATTTAATGCAAGTCAGGAACTAACTAGCAACACTTTGGCCATTGTTAAATTACTGTCATCATTCATTTTGTCGGTATCGCAAACATCAGGAGCCAACCGCCATCTTTTACAGTCTGGCTCGCATGATGTAGTGGAGGACGGGCTTCCAACATGGATGAACCGTGATGAAAGGAGGATGTTGAAGGGTGACATTGACAAGCCGACGCCAAATGTAACTGTCGCTAAAGATGGTAGTGGAAACTTTACCACAATCAATGATGCATTGGCTGCAATGCCGACCAAATATGAAGGAAGGTATGCCAGACACCTTTTTTTATACACTAGAATAATTTCCTCTATACAAAAAGGTGCTAGAGAATCCAATTTGAAATTTCTTAGAATTTCATTTCACTCCTTCACTTCAAAAGCAAATTAAGCTCTGTGCATTTGCTCCTTTCTACTGATGTCAACAATTTTATATACTTTGGAAACGTAGGTATGTGATCATATTTTTCTTTTTGCCACAGGTATGTGATATTTGTTAAAGCAGGAATTTACGAAGAGTACGTGAACATTCCAAAACAGATGGTAAATGTAACATTATATGGCGATGGATCACAGAAATCCATCATCACCGGAAACAAAAATAAAGTAGACGGAGTTAACACTTACTTGACCGCAACCGTTGGTATGTTGATACATAACAGACAATTTCTAATTTATGTTGAGATCTTTATTTTACAATACAAATTTTAAAGCAGTAATTATGAAATAGAGAACAGCTCCTACCATTAGGATATTGATTCTAATATTAGGAGGTCTGTTTTGTTCCAGAAAAAATGATCGGTACACTCTCATTTTAACATATATTTTAACACACTTTTGATTTAATCATTGAAAATATAATATAAATATAATTAATTCAATCAGTTCTTATATCTTGTGTGATTATTGTATTATTAAATTTATTTATCTTTAATTTTATATTAAAAAATAATAATTTTTTAACAAATATATCATGTAATATATTGAGTTGAAATATGTACCGACCACTGTTGTTTAGTCCTGCATAACACCTTTTTGCTTCGTTTTTATTTATTTAATTTTTTTTTTCCCTCAGCTGTCATGGGAGAAGGGTTTTTGGGCCAGGCAATGGGTTTTAGGAATACTGCAGGCCCGGAGAAGGAACAGGCTGTGGCTCTAAGAGTCCAAGCGGACAGAGCAATTTTCCTCAACTGCCGCTTCGAAGGTTACCAAGACACGCTCTATGTCCAAACTCACCGCCAGTTCTACCGAAGTTGCGTCATCGCCGGAACCGTCGACTTCATCTTTGGCGACGCAACAGCCCTCTTCCAGAACTGCCTGATCTACGTCAGGAAACCCCTAGAAAATCAACAAAACGCTGTCACGGCCCAGGGGAGGGTAGACAAATTCCAAACCTCCGGAATCGTCCTGCAAAACTGCAAAATCCTGCCGGATGACTCCCTGGCCCCAGTCAAGGCCCAGTTCAAGACCTACCTCGGACGTCCATGGAAGAAATATTCTAGAACAATCATAATGGAATCCACAATCGAGGATCTCATCGACCCTGCCGGATGGTTGGCCTGGAGTGGAACATTTGCACTGGATACCCTATTCTACGCAGAATTCAACAACGAAGGTCCCGGTGCCAAGAAAGACGGCAGGGTGAAGTGGCCGGGACTGAAAACCATAACCAAGGACCAGGCCGAGAAATTTACAGTAGGACCATTCTTACAGGGGGCATGGATCAATGATACAGGTGCTTCTGTTCATTTTGGTCTGTTTAAATGAGAATTTTAATTTTAAATTTGTTTGTGAATTTAGTTTGAGCCTTTCTGAAAAGATGAAGA